GAGCGGGGGGAGGGCAGAGGGGGAGGGAGAGCAGACTCCCCGCTGAGCAGGGAGCCTGATACAGGGTATGATCCCAGGACTCTGAAATCATGACCTGAGCCGAAGGCAGACGTTGAATGGGCTGAGCCACCCAGGCGCCCTGGCAAGTGGCCTTTTAAAAACATAAACCAAATGTATAATCTCCCTGTTTAAAATGCTTTGATGGCTTCCTTTTCCTCTTTAATAGAGGTTAGCACCCACTCCCCTCCAACCTGATCATCAAACAGGCCTGGCCTCTGCCTACTCTGCAAACAGTTCCCATCACTCCTCACCACGTGACTCCATTCCAGCTACCCTGGCCCTCATTCAATGTCTCAAATAAGCCAGGCTCCTTTATTGCTTCGATCTCTTGCATTTGCATTCCTCTTGCTGAAAACTAGTAAGAGGGACAGCCATACTCAAAGCCCCTGAAGAAAAAATTAAGTGTCCCTCTTCTGGAACCCTGAACTTTTTCAAAGTACCTATCCCAAATGCAGTTAAATAATTATGTTATTATAACATCGTCTCTAAGAGGGCAAGGCCCACATCTAATTCTTCTCCCAATGTAGAGCACAGAGCCTGACATGGAAAGTAATGATTGATAAAACATGTATAGAGCTCTTATTACACATGAAGCTCTCTGTACATGCTTTGCCACCATATGAGGTAGGTTCCACTTTACTCAGTTGACTTGTGAAGAAATTAGAATACATCAGTACCTACCCAGAAGTTACCTGGCTCTTAAGTGACAGAGTTAGGATTTGAATCAGATTTACTATAGACTTCATGGTTTCGTTTGTTTGTTTTCAAAGATTTATCCATTCATTTTGAGAGAGAGAGAGAGAGCAAGCTGGGCAGGGAGAGGAGGAGAGAGAGAGAATCTCAAGCAGACTCCCCACAGAGCCCGACTCGAGGCTCAATCCCATGACCCAAAATCAAGCAACTGAGCCACCCAGATGCTCCTAGACTTCATATTCTTAACCACAAAGCAACATAATTTATTAAATGAAGCCCACAATGAGGAAACATTATGTGCACAGGCCTACCACTGCCATGATGGGAACAACAAACTGTTCATTATGAAGAAGTGTAGAACACGTGGAGGGTGGTGCCAGACATGTGATCAGAAAAGGACCTGGAGAAACAAAATATCCTAGTCTGCTCTGTTAGAGTTTAGTCTGTCTTAGGCAATGGGAAAACATTACAGGGTTTTAGGTAGAGGATTCATAACCAGATAACCAGGTTTCAGTATGGGAAATGAAAACAAGTAAACCATTTCGGAGGCTTTCACAATCCGGTAGATACAGATAAATGTGTATGTGTCAGGAAATTGAGAGAATTTCTATCCTATGGCTTTTATCTTCTCTGCCATATATGAAGTGAAAAGGTTTGCAGAGTGAATAGGGAGCTGAGGGGATTAGAGAGATGAGATCATGAAGTCATGCAGATGGCCCAAACCCTTTCTGAAGCAATCAGGGCCAGGATAGACAAAGAGACTGATGGACTGCTCTAGATGAGAGACTAGAGGCCTGGGAGTCAGTGCAGCATGTGATCTGGACCGAAACCTCTAGTGGAGGGACGATGTTAGTGCAGGCACTCTTGAGTGCTGGGGCAACGGACAAAATCGGGATGTGGACTGTAGAATTCGATGAAAATATGGTGTCTATGTTAAACTTTGTAGAGATTTTACAGAGCAGACTACCTTTATTCCTAGAAAATACACACCAAAGTATTAAGGGATAAAGTTTCACAATGGTATGTAACATATTCTCAAAAGTTTCAAGTAAAAAATACACATATATATAACATTATCATATAGATAATACTACAATGTATATTACAAAATACATTATTATAGTATATATGAGAGAGAGACTGATAAAAATGTGGCAAAATGTTGAAATTTGTGAATTTGGGTAAAGGGAATGTGGGTAATCTCTGTGCTATTTTTGCAATTTTTCACAAAGTTTGAATTATTTCAAAAAATTACAAAGTTATTTTTTAAATAATCAATATTGAATAAGATACCATCCAAGAATGAAATATCTGAATTTAAGATGTCAGAGGTGTCACAGTTCTAGATTATGGCAGTCTCCGGTTTAGCTATGGAGGGTGTGCAGCCAAAGTATAACAGATCAAAGTCACTGAAACTGAGGCCATATTTGAGACACCTTCCCTCTCATTTGATTATATCCCAGTTTCATATGAAATTTCATCTTATTTACTGATTTCTCTTGAAGTTTTTTAATCTCTGGATTCCCTTTCACTTTTCTTTTGAAGTTTTTAGTACCTGAACTACTTTATAATGTAATCATCAGTGCAAATCTGAGAATTTCAAATCCCCATCTCTTTGACAACCTATTCGACATACTACCACTTTTCAGGTTTATTATCTTGGGTCCTATTCAGATTTAATCTATGTGATGATATTGAGTTTCATACAAACTTTAATAATATTTCAGCTACTATATCAAACATGGTAATAATAATAATGATGGCACATCACCCCCTACCATCCACAGTGCTGGCATCCCTAAATCCTGTCTGATTTTAAGTCATCAGAGAGGGGCACCTGGCTGGCTCAGTTGGTTGAGTATCTGATCTTGATTTCTGCTCAGGTCATGATCTCAGGGTCATGAGACTGGGCCCCGTGCCCAGCTCCATGCTGAGCAGAGAGCCTGTTTAAGATTTTCTCTCTCCTTCTCCCTTTGCCCCACCCCCACCTCTCTAAAAAAAATAATCAGAGTGTCTCCTGCATGGGTGGAAGGGAAGTGATCACCTGGTTATTCCAAGGGATGGGAAATCCAACCACTTGCCTAGGGCTTCAATCCAAACCTCCCATAATTAGCCTCACACATGCCTTCAGTGATGGTTGCTGCTGCCAATCCTGAGCCTCCCCAGGGTCCTAAAGATCCACTTGGTTTGTTCCTTTTTGGCTCCTTCCTCTACAGACTTACTTTTCTTTCCTTTGATTCTGCTAGGCTAGTGGCCACTCGTCCATTTAATAATTTATTATGCCTGGGGCGCCTGGGTGACTCAGATGGTTAAGCGTCTGCCTTTGGTCAGGTCATGATCCCAGGGTCCTGGGATCGAGTCCCGCATCAGGCTCCCTGCTCAGCGGGGAGCCTGCTTCTCCCTCTGCCCCTCTCTCTCTCTCCCTGTCTCTTATGAATAAATAAACAAAATCTTTAAAAAAAAAATTATTATGCCCTCTCCTAATCTCTTTTTATTCTCTTCTCCTAATGTCTTTACAAACTGCTATTATCTCCTCTCCCACTCTCCCTACCCTTGTAGGTCTATGCCTTTTTTAATTCCTTTACTGTCATTCTAGTGGGGTTTCAAGAAGGGTAAAAATAAACATGTGTGCTCAATCACCATGGTGAAGTGGAAGTGTCATTCTAGCTTTTTATGAGGTTAGATTAAATATGTTTCAGTCTGAGTGACTCTCCAAATGTAATGGGGTAGCTCTGAGCTATTTTCAATATTTTTTAAAGGTTAACTGAAAAATACATTTACCCATAGTGAGACCATGAAGGGTGACATTAAATTTCTTTACTCAATGTGTTACTCCTGGTTCATTCATTCATTCAACCAATATTTAAAGTGACTACTACATCCTCCACACTGTCCTAAATTCCAGGGATTCAGCAGTAAATGAAACAGTCTCTTGACTTCATGGAGTTTCTACTACAATAGGATAGACAAACAAATATGTATCTTACACTGATCATAAACTCTGGCAATTATGTGCCTTTGATTACAAAAAGTTGAAAAAGAATTAATTAGTATAAAAGGATCACAAGGTACTCATAGAATTTAGAAATTAGATTACCCTCTGTTAGTACCTAGTTAGAACCAACAGAGGTGAGATTAAGTGAAATTATTTTCCCAAAGGGGGTCGAGGATGGGGATCAAAGCTGATCAAAGATCAAAAGATCTTTGTAGACCAACACTAACTGCAGCATTATTTATAGCACAGAAAATTTGGAAACAATCTCAACAGCCAACAGTCAGGGAAAGCTTAACTAAATATGTTCCATAAATAATGATGAATGCAGCTATTATAAATGATGTGTTTGAGAGACACTTATGACATGGGAAAGTACTTATAATAGTAAGTGAAAAACTTAGATATAAAACTATATACAATATCAACTATATGAAACAAATGAAAAACAAATCTGCCAAGAAAAATAATCTGGAAAGAAATGTTAAAACGGTAAACTTTATTCTAGATTGTGGATCAATGGTTTTTAACAGCATCCCCATCCTATGGTAACTTGTTAGAAACACAAATTCTCACACTCCCATCCCAGATCTCTGGTTTAGAAATTCTGGCCTGGGGGCTTAGCAATCTATGTTTTAACAAACCTCTGGGTGATTCTGATGCTCACTTAAGTTTGAGTACTGCTCTAGATAATGAGATGATGGGTGAATTTTATTTTTTATTTTTTATTTTTTTCTACCTTATATAAATTTCCACTTGACTTCTCTATGTGAGGCACAGAGGCTAAGGACATTGGCTTTGGAGTCAAGACTTGAATGGAGCCCTTGCTTCACCACGTAGCTAGTGACCTTGGACGGTATCTTACTCAATATTGATTATTTAAAAAATAACTTGGTCTCATCTTTCAACACTTCAACTGTTTCACTCCACTCTCACCTGGCTTCCATGGTTTCTGACAAAGTCCAGGTACGGTGACTGTTTTCCTCTGGCTTCTTTCCAGATTTTCTTGTCGTCTTTGGTTTTCTGCAGTTTGACTAGGATACACCCAGGCATAGATATTTTGGTATTTACCCTGTTTGGTGTTCTCTTAACTTCCTGGATCTGCTTTGGTGTGTCTCGGGACATTTGGGGAAAAAAATTGTCCATTACCACTACAAACATTTCTTCTGCTCCATTCTTTTATTCTTTTCCTTCTGGTATTCCAATTGTATGTGTTTTACACCTTTTGAAATTGTCCCAGAGCTCTCGGATGCTGTTTTGTTTTTGTTTTTTTTCATTCTTTTTTCTCTTTGCATTTCAGCTTCGAAGTTTCTATTGAAATCTTCAAGTTCTATCATTCTTTCCTCAGAAATGTTGAGTCTACTGATGGACCCATCAAAGGTTCTTCTGTTCCACTGCATTGGATTTCTAACATTTCCCTTTGATTCCTTCAGAGTTTCCATGTCTCTGCTTATACCACCCATTTTTTCTTGAATGTTGTCTTTTCCCATTAAAGCCCTAAACATATTAATCATAGTTCTTTTAAATCTCAATCTGATAATTCCAAGATATGTATCACAGATCTGAGTTTAGCTCTTATGCTTACTTGATCTCAGATGGTGTTTTTGCTTTTTGCATGCCTTCTAATTTTTTGTTGAAAGCCAGACGTAACGCTCAAGTAATAGAAACTAAGACAGTCAGTTAAGAGACTTCATAACAATTTGGCTAAGAATAGGGCTGTGTTTAATGTTTGCTATAGCTGTAGGTGCCAGACTCCTCTAAGGACTCCTCCTTAAATAGTGTGTACCACACACATTTCATCTGTAATCCACTATTATTGTACTACAACTCTGTGATGTGGTGGTAAAGCGTAAGTAAAGGGAAGCATTCTACCTCATATTTAAACTTTAGTCTTTTACTGGACTTGTCTCTGGGCTGTGACCTTCAGAAGTGTTTTTTAGCTTCTCCCAGCCCCCTCAGATGAGATAGGAATGCTACAGGGGACTGGAGTTGGTTAAATGCAGGCAGGGAGGACAAAGCTCTGGTAAAGTCTTTTCCACCTGGAGAGTAGGTCTTCGTTATGTGGAATGCTCTGAGGAGATTTCAAAATGTTTACCTTCCCCCTCCCCCTGCTAGAGCAACATGGGGTCTTTCTTGGGTCTTTACCAGGTGACCTGGTAGGTTTCCTGGAAGCAAAACCCAAGAATATGTGAGGCATCTCCTAGGACTACAGGCTCCCAGGGAGTTTCTCACACTTGGTATTTCACATAGCCTCCAGCAATTTGCCAAAATTACCAAGTGTTTCTTCCAGTTTATAGTGATAGAAGTGATGACTTCCCAAACTCTTAACCTGTTGTGGCTGAAACTGAGCCCGTTTCTTCATTTGTAGAAAGGATATTAACAGAGGCATCTATCACATAGGTTTGTTGGAAGGATTAAATGACCTAATTCATGTAAAAACATTTTGTCCAGTGCCCACTTCAGAATTTAGTGCTTATTAGACTGGGAACTCTTTGAACTGAAGTTCAGAGAAATTAAGTGACACACCCAAGTAAAATCTGAAAAAAAAGCAGTATGCAAATTCAAGCCCAGGTTTTAGAGTCCAAATTTATTGCCACATTTTAAAAATAAATCATTTTATTACACTCTTAATATCTATAAAACCCATACTAGAGGTTTATAAAGCACTGTCAGGTACAGGATGTAGTAAACACGTGTTCACAAATGGGTAAGAATAATTTATAGTTAGCGTACGGATTTTAAAACATAAAAATAGTTTTTATATTTAGGATATTTAGGATTTTAAAGCTTTTGGAGAAATGACATTAAAATTGTGAGACTTTTCGGTTGAGTGTTGGACTCTTGATTTCGACCCACGTTGTTATCTGGTAGTCCAATCCAGCCCTGCCTCGGCTCTGCACTCATTGCGGAGTCTGCTTATCCCTCTTCCTCCCCCTCTGTCCCTTCCCTTTCCCCTTCCAAGCCTAACTCACTCTTGCTCTATCTAAAATAAATAAATCGGGGTGCCTGGGTGGTCAGTAGGTTCAGCATCTGCCTTTGGCTCAGGTCATGATCGCAGGGTCCTGGGATCTAGCCCCACATTGGGCACCCTGCTCAGTGGAGAGCCTGCTTCTCCCTCTCCCCCCTGCTCGTGCTCTCTCGCTCTCTCTCAAATAAGTAAATTAAATTAATAAAATCTTTTTAAACATATAAATAAATAAAATAGTGAGACTTAAAAATGAATGCCCCCTGGGTGCCTGGGTGGATCAGTTGGTTAAGCAACTGCCTTCGGCTCAGGTCATGATCCTGGAGTCCCAGTATCGAGTCCCGCATCGGGCTCCCTGCTTGGCAGGGAGTCTGCTTCTCCCTCTGACCCTCCCCCGTCTCATGCTCTCTCTCTCTCTATCTCATTCTCTCTCTCAAATAAATAAATAAAATCTTAAAAAAAAAAAAAAATGAATGCCCCTGAAAATCTAACCACCCTGATATCATCTCCTGTGTTCTCCTATAATCTTTACCCATTTACATGTGTAATTTTTACATATTGTTTTAAAAGGCTACAGTTCAATAAGTCAATACATAACAACTTATTTTGCATCCTCCATTTGTTGGACAAGTAGATTTTATCCATATTTTCAAATTTATAAATAACCTTATAATAATTATTTTTTACTTCTCACTTTTTTTTCAGAATATATTTCTAAGGATAAATACCCAGGAGTATATTAAAATCAAAGCATGTGGGGCGCCTGGGTGGCTCAGTTGGTTAAGTGACTGCCTTCGGCTCAGGTCATGATCCTGGAGTCCTGGGATCGAGTCCTGCATCAGGCTCCCTGCTCGGCAGGGAGTCTGCTTCTCCCTCTCCCACTCCCCGTTTGTGTTCCCTCTCTCGCTGTGTCTTTCTCTGTCAAATAAATAAATAAAATCTTTAAAAATAAATAAATAAATAAATCAAAGCATGTGGATATCATCTTTCCTTTAACATGAATTTCCAAATTGCCTTCCAAAAAAAGGTACCAATTTTTTTTTCTTTTCATTTTGGATGTACTCAACATTTCCATTTGATCTGTTTTAAATTGTGGTAAAACAGACTAAAAAATTAACCGTCCTAACCACTGTACAGTTCAATAGTGTTAGGTACATTCACATTGTTGTGCAACCCATCTCTAGAATTCTTCTTGCAAAAACTGACTCTATTCCCTTTAAATAACAACTTCCCTTCCCCCCTTCCCCCTGGCAGCCATGATTCTACTCTCTGTTCTATGAATTTGGCTACTCTAGGTATCTCATGTAAGTAGAATTATACAGTACTTGTCTTTCTGTGACTGGCTAAATTCACTTAGAATAGTATCTTTGAGATTCAGCCTTGTGGTAGCATTAAGTCAGAATTTCTTTCCTTTTTAAAGACGAATGATATTGCAGTGTATGATTATACTGCATTTTGTTTAACATCCATTGATGGACACTTGAGTTGCTTCTACCTTTTGACTACTGTGGCTAATACTGCTATGAACATGGGTGTACAAATAGTTATTCAAGTTCCTGCTTTCAATTATTTTGGGTATAAAGCCAGATGTAGATTTGCTTGATCATATGGTAATTCAATATCTGAATTTTTGAGGAACTGCCATACTATTTTCCACAGCAGCTGTACCATTTTACATGCCCATCAACAGCACACAAGGGCTCCAATTTCTCCACACCTCGCCAACACTAATTTTTTTATTGTAGCCATCCTAATGGGTGTGAAGTGCTATCTCATTGTCCATTTGACTTTTTAAAGTATGAATTTTCTTGACCAATTTTTATAGGTAAGTACAAAGATAAATTTCAGTCCAATTTTTCTCCAAGTTTTATTCTGAATTCGAGGAAATAAATTGTTGGTAAGTTAGTTTTCTTCTTCAGTTAGTCTCTACCTAGATTGTTATCCATCTAAAACAGGGAGAAAACTATTAAATGGCCCCCAAAATAGGCATGAATGCATTATGTGTGATCAACAATTGGTAAGACAAAGTTTTTCTTAACTCCTGGATTCCATGCCACACATATACTAAGAGCTACTTATTTCCTAGAATGTGCCAAGCACTTTCCTTTCTATTTATTCAGCATTTCTTTACTGCCAGGCATCATGGTGGGTGCTGGGGGATATAAAGATGAGTAAGACGACACCATCTCCATTATAACAACATTATGAAGTAGGTAAAATCTTTCCCACTTTACATCTGAGGAACTGGAGGCTCCTACGGTCTAGCATCTTGGCTAAGATCAGACAGAGCTTGGGGAAATTGAGGTCTTACTCCACTTTTCTACTACTCCATAGTATACCCTGTACTATCAACAGTTCCCTTTTTAAAAAGTAATATCCACCTGTAGTTTGTTTTTTACCTTAGATTTTCAAATGTTGGGTTTTCAGAGGAATGGCAGCACAATACAAAGAAATAAACAAACAAAAACTTGTAAAACCTCTACCATTTAGGAGTTGATAGTTGAATTGGAGGCACTTTACCAAGCAATGCAAAGAAACGAACAATATTTTTATACAAAAATAGTAAATCCTAAGCAAGCTTTAAGTATCTGAGGCTTACTAAAAAAAACTGACAAAGTTCCTTTGGCCTGCCAAAAGTTAGAGGATTTTATTCCTAAGCAGTTTGTTTGCTAGACATGATTCTAATTACAAACAGAAGTTCCTTGCAGTCCTATGTAAAATTCTCGAGGAGATAGAAACAATAAGATTAAAAGATTCAAAGAATCAACAACTGCGTTGATTCTCTAAACAAAACTAAACAGAAGGAAAAGGAAAAAAATGTTCTGGCTGAGCAAACTTGAGAGAAATAATATAACTTCAAAAACAATTTTTGCTATCCCATTTCAAACATTCTTTCAGTAAAACAAAATTAACTCTTTAAAATTAACTTGATTCTAAAATTTAAATTCCTGGGGCGCCTGGGTGGCTCAGTCGTTAAGCGTCTGCCTTCGGCTCAGGTCATGGTCCCAGGGTCCTGGGATCAAGCCCCACATCTGGCTCCCTGCTCCACGGGAAGCCCGCTTCTCCCTCTCCCACTCTCCCTGCTTGTGTTCCCTCTCTCTCTCTGTGTCTCTCTCTGTCAAATAAATAAATAAAATCTTTAAAAATAAAAATAAAAAATAAAATTTAAATTCCTTTCTTTGTTAGCTAACATAACTATATGCATTTTTTAATCTAGGAAAAAAAATTTTTTTTAAAGATTTTATTTATTTATTTGTCAGAGACACAGAGCAAGCACAAACAGGGGGAGTGGCAGGCAGAGGCAAAGGGAAAAGCAGGCTCCCCGCTGAGCAAGGAGCCTGATGAGCAAGGAGCCTGAAGCAGACTCAATCCCAGGACCCTGGGATCCTGAGCCAAAGGAAGATGCTTAATGGACTGAGACACCCACACATCCCTAAGAAAAAATAAATTATGTTAAAGCACAAAAATGCTACAAAGGAAGAGAACAACTTCAGTGTATATAATCTTATAAGAAACTATTATAAATAGAACATAATAGCCTGTCATAGTTAATTTTTGTTACTAATGTTCTCAGTACTTTTACCAAGATTAATCCCTAAATGTTGAAGAGCTAGATATAAATCCAGAAGCTTAATCTTCCTTTATAACTTTAAAAAATCTCAAGATTAAAGATGAACTATTCAAAATATATGAAAATCTTTTTTTTAAAAAGGCGGGGGGGGGGGGGTGAGGCACCTGGGTGGCTCAGTCCTTTAAGCATCTACCTTCAACTCAGGTTATGATCTCAGTGTCCTGGAATCAGTCCCACACTGGGCTCCCTGTTCAGCAGGGAGTCTGCTTCTTCCTCTCCCTCTGACTCTCCTGCCCACTTGTGCTGTCTCAAATAAATAAAATCTTTAAAAATAAAATAAAATATATGTACATTTCTATAAAGGGTATTTTTGTAATTGTTGTTTTTTAAAGACAGGCCAGTGAATACTTTGGCTCTCAAAAAATGCTTGGTGAGGGGTACCTGGATGGCTCAGTCAGTTGAGTGATCGACTCCTGGTATCAGCTCAGGTCATGATCGCATGGGTCTGGGTTGTGGGATCGAGCCCAGCATGGGTAGTCTGCTTGAGATTCTCTCTGCCCCTCCCCTCTCTCTTTCTTTCTCTCTCTCTGAAATAAACAAATCTTTTTAAAAAGATGTTTGTTGAGCCAGAAGTAATAGAAGCGTATTGCTTACCTGTGAGGAAAAAAAAACAACACTAAAAATAGTGAATGTATTGGGGCGCCTGGGTGGCTCAGTTGGTTAAGCGACTGCCTTCGGCTCAGGTCATGATCCTGGAGTCCCTGGATCGAGTCCCGCATCGAGTCCCGCATCGAGTCCCGCATCGGGCTCCCTGCTCGGCGGGGAGTCTGCTTCTCCCTCTGACCCTCCACCCTCTCATGTGTTCTCTCTCATTCTCTTTCTCTCAAATAAATAAAATCTTAAAAAAAAAAAAAATAGTGTATGTACTTTTGGGTATAGAATAGATTTTTAGGAAATAGCAAGTAATGTTTTAGCTAAAACATAAACATCTTTAATTAATTCAAACATTCTGAATTCAATAAATATTGAGTTCCTACCATGTACCGAGCACCTCCTCAAGACATTGAGTGTAACAGATCAGAAAATGGTCCCTTTCCTTATAGCAGCAATGTCCACAATAGCCAAAATATGGGAAGAGCCCAGATGTCCATAGACAGATGAATGGATAAAGATGTGGTATACACACACACACACAATCGATTATTACTCAGCCATCAAAAAGAATGAAATCTTGCCATCTGCAACGATATGGATGGAACTAGAGGGTATCATGCTAAGCAAAATAAGTCAGAGAAAGACAAATATCCTATGATTTCTCTCATGTGGAATTTAAGAAATAAAACAGAGGAACATAGGGGAAGGGGAGAAAAAATAAAAAACAGAGAGAGGCAAGCCATAAGAGACTCTTAACTGTTGGGAACAAACTAAGGGTTGCTGGAGGGGAGGTGGGTGGGAGGATGGGGTAACTGCATGATGGGCATTAAGGAGGGCTCATTAAATCTAATGAGTACTGGGTGTTATATGAAACTGATGAATTACTAAACTCTATCCCTGAAACTAATAATACACTGTATGTTAACCAAATTAAATGTAAATAAAAAATTTAAAAAAAGAAAAAAGAAAATGGTCCCTTTCCTCTTAAAGCTAACAGGGTACTGGATATATCCTCCAAAACTATCCTTTCTTTTGTGTGATTCCAGGCTCATTAAGGACCTTTTTGAAATATAAATTCACCCTCCCCAAAAGCTTAATACTCATGAAACAAAATACTACATTGCTGAGATCAGCTTTCTGGTTAAAGTATCAACAAACCCCTATGGAATTCATAATTAATTAGTTAGCTTGCGTGAAACCCCAAAGCCTTGATCAATTCTGATTAACTGGTTAGGTGTAATTTCTCAAACTTCAGAGCTGAGAATCAAATACAGGAGTGCAATTATGTCCATACGAAGATGATAACTGCCAAAGGAGTTGCTAGTTTACCCTCAGGCAACATGGCGTCATTTCATCATGTCCTACCAACTGCAATATAATCAACTCATAAAACTGTTAAGAATAGGGGCGCCTGGGTGGCTCAGTCGGTAAGCATCTGCCTTCAGCTCAGGTCATGATCCCAGGGTCCTGGGATTGAGCCCCGCATCCAGCTCCCTGCTCAGTGGGAAGCCTTCTTCTCTCTCTCCCACTCCCCCTGCTTGTGTTCCCTCTCTCACTATGTCTCTGTCAAATAGATTTATAAAATCTTAAAAAAAAAAAAACTGTTAATAAATAAAATATACCATATAACACTGCTTCTCAAACTTTAATATGCATCTGGATCACCTACAGATCTGCTAAAATGCAGACTGATTCAGCAGGTCAGGGGCAGGGACTGAGATTCTTCATTTCTGATAAGCTCCCAGGGATGCTCAGGCTGCTGTCCACAGACCAGGAGGGGATATAACACACCTGGAAAGAGGTCTGGCAAACAGGCTGCCCAGCCCAGCTAACTGTTCTCTCCCCTCCATGGATGTCTTATCTCCTTTACTGATCTCACCTTTCTTGAAAGAAGATAGTTCTTTTCACCTTTGCATCCTTCAAAATTCTCACCTAATCAGAACACCTTCCATAGGCATTAAATATATGCCAACGGAATGAATGACATCCAGCTTTTGTCATTACTTCTATACTTATGAACAGAACTGTTTCTTCCTCTGAATTTATTCTAAGTAGAAATGTATTTTTGAAAACTGAAAAATCAGAAAAGCTATTTTTTAAGTAAAGAAAAATTGTATTTGCAACATGATCCAGTGCATTCTCATGCTGACCTAATCAATCTTAAAAAAATATATATCCAGGCGCCTGGGTGGATCAGTCGGTTAAGCGTCTGCCTTCGGCTCAGGTCATGATCCCAGGGTCCTGGGATCGAGCTCCATATCGGGCTCCCTGCTCGCTGGGGAGCCTGCTTCTCCCTCTCCCTCTGCCTGCCTCTCTGCCTACTTGTTCTCCCTCTCTCTGTCAAATAAATAAAATGTTTTTAAATATATATATATCCATAATTAACATGTTAACTTATCTGCTAATGATTTTTACTTTTTTTTTTTTTTGTAAATAATAACTAGATCATCTGGTTTTCTGGAGAAGTTTTAAAATTTGTCTTAAAGCAGCGCCTGGCTGGCTCAGTCCGAAGAGCATGTGACTCTTGATCTCCCGTCCGAGAGTTCAGCCCCACAATGGGTGTAGAGACTACTAAAGAAACAAAAATAAACTCAAAAAACTAAAAATAAAACCCTTTAAAATTAGTCTTTAAAAAAAGTAATCACTTCCTTGGGTGTACTTTTAAGGCAGCACAATAAAAAAATTAGGCCATCTTAGTAAAGGTAACATCTAGAATACACTTCCGACCCTACAGACTAACAGTCCTATAAATAAATAGTATTACTCTTATCCATAGGTAGATCTTTGGCGCAGTTTCCACTGTTTCTCCGCCGATTTTCTGTGATTTTAGCCAAACGAGTGATTGACTACCTCGGGGCTGGTTTCTGCACTCGTAAATGGTAAGTCGAGTACACTTGGCTGCAGGCTGAGAAAAGTGACACGTGACGGAGTTGCAGCACCCCAGAAAGGAAACAGGGGCGGAATATACTTTCATTTCTAAGATGTTTACCTCGACGGTTTGACCGGTTTTTGCCACGAGTGTGCCAGTGCGCACACATACACAGGCTGTTACTTTTGAGCGACCGAGGAAAGGGCCCGAGGCTCGGGTTGGCACTGGCACAACGTCCAGGGTCGCCGCTCAACGTGGACGGCCAGGGCTCCGCCGGCGCGCCCGCAACCCAGCCGCCGCCTCCGGGCTGCTCACCGGACCTCCTCACGCTGCCGAGCGCGGGTGCTCCAACCAGCTCCCCACGGACGCGCGTTTCTGAGGCTGCTGGCGCGGAAGGAGCGCCCGCGATCCGGGGGCCGTCCCCCACGTCCGCACCAAGCAGGCAAAATGGAGGCGGCGGGCGCGTTCCCGCCGGGCGGGGCTTCGGCGCGGCCCGAAGGTCCGCCGGACACGGGCGGGCAGAGCCGGTCCCTCCCCCGGGCCGCCCCGGGTGCCAGCAGCCCGGCAGCTGCCGGCGTGGCGCCTGCGGCACAGAGGCCGGGGCGAAGCCGTGGAGGTGGGGTGCCGGCGGCCGCGAACAAGGACGCCATTATCGGCCTCGCCCGGCGGAGCCTCGGGGAGGGGGGCGGGGGGGGGAGGGGGGGACAAGAGAAGGGAGGAGGATGGGGCGGGGCTCAGGCGTCGGCTGGGAGGCCGCGGGCGCCGGGGAGGGCGGCCTCCGCTGCAGGACGCGTCCGTGGCCCCCTGCCCTGTGGGCCCTCTCCCCGCGGGGCGGACTCCGCTGGAGGGCGGCCCACCCCGCCCGAAGCGTCCCAGTGCGGGCCCGGTTCGCGGCGGGCGGCTCTTACCTGTGCCTCCCCTTTCTTTATCGTCCGCCATCTTGTTGCGGAGCCGTCGCCCGGGAGATGCCTGGCGTCACCCTAGGACGCGGCGTCCTTGCCCCCTCCAGGCCCCGCGCGAGTCCGGCCTGGGGCACCGGCGGCTCCGAACCCCGACGGCGGGAGCGCCCGCGGCGGGGGCTGGGGAGGGGGAGGCTCCGAGCGCGCGCCCGCCCCTCTCCCCGCACGCGTCCCCGTCCCCTCCCCCTCTCCCTCCCGGCCCACTCCGGCCTTGGGGGACGAGGGAGTGGGAGAGCCCCGGGCCCTGCCTTCCCTCCTGACCCGCGTGGGGACTCGCAGGCCCGGCGCCCTCCCCGCCCGTGGGTACGACGTGGCGCCGCGCAGGTTTTTCACTACGGACTTGAAAACGCGGCCGGAGAGCCGGGGTCGGACCTCGCGGCTGCCCCGGAGGCCGGGACGCCGGGCGGGCGCGGGGGGCACCCCAGCCGGCACCCCCGGGGCGGGCGGTGGCGGCGCGCGCCTGGGGCCGCCGAGCAAACACGGCGTCGTCAAGGCGGCAGTTGCTGACACAAACTGGAAGGTTCTCATGGCAACGGAGACGTGCCCGCCCGGCCGCCTCGACACCGACGTTAAATGTCCTAGCTCGTGAGGTTTGACGTGACCTCCAGCTAAGGTGACTACGGAGAAGTTGTACCCCCCGCGTTTCTGCAACTTGGCAGCTGTCGCAGGATGTTAGATTTTTGTCTCGGCTTAAGGATAAGCTCGTTCTACTAGAACGTTTTCTTTCTGAAATGATTTTTTGAATTATGTGGTTCAAACGAATATGAGATTTTAAAGCTAATCTTGGATGATTTTTAAGTGCATTCGTGTACTAGCTTAAAGGACGTTATGTGAAAATGTATGAACTGTTAACTGTAAATGTTGAAGCCTTCAGAGTACAAGGTACTAGTATGTGATGATTTTCTTAACATACTTGTTATGCTTCTTTTATTCTGTTCCTGTAATCGCTCAGTAAACCCGAAAGCAAACTGTTCTTAATTAAAATAACTATTTTTTTCTATAGAAGATACTCATTTGGTGCTATAACCCGCATTCTCTTTGAAATTGATGAGAAATTATTGAATCATCGTAAAATGGCTTCTGTTGGAAGATAGGTACTTACATAAAATGAATACGGTTGTTTACAGTAAATTTTGGACTGCCCAGGATACGGGAAAGTAATCATTAGCATTCACATAATATTTAAATTTCGTAGTTTTTCGTAGTCATTATAGTCTAGTAGTTTGTTTTTAAAGACGCCCTCTTTGCATACAGATAATGAAGGACTTCGAAATAAACGTAGGAAAACCTCAGCTGTGGGCTCAGGTTGACTTCTCGCCCACTGTGCCTTGAGGCTGTTTGCAGTTTCCTTTTTCTGGAATGCCTTCTCCCACCCCTCTCCCGGCCCCAACATTCACCCTCCCACGGACACACGTCTGCTCCCTCCCAGTTGTCAGTGACCTCCTTGAAGGTCACCTACTCCTTGAAGCTTTAAGCTTTCCGGATCAACCTCCTCCTCTGTGGTCCAGAACTCCTATTCTAGAGCCTCTTCCATTGATTTGCAATTACTTTGTATATTTGTACTGTAAGCTCTTGAGGACAGGAAACACTTTGTCCCCATATCCCCAGTGCCTACAACAATTTTTAAGTTCTTGTGTCTGAAATAATACATGTTTTAAAAATTAAACTGGATTTAGTCTTTTCAGTGACTTGATTATTTAAATTATTCCAAACCATATTAATCTCTACTTCTCCTACAGCAGATTTAAGACAATACTGTTGCTCTAAATTGGGATGAGTAAAAAAGCGGTGTATATTAATTAACCCCTCCCCTCCAGTTAGGTTTGAAGACAGAAGCCTGATCATATAAATCTTTTATGTGTACCCACAGTACCTTGCCTAATTTGGGACACGTATTAGGAGATTAATACATATTCTTCAATTAACTAATTAGCTGATTACACATAAAAGTGTATCATTATTCTGGAAAACTCCACAAAGTGAAAAAAAAGTGGGTATCCAAATGACAAAATAGAGGCCCACAATGCCAATGAGTCTGCATTATGCTACCTGACTTAACTTTCCACTTTTCTTTGGTTGTGGAAAACTGACTTCTAATTATGTTAAAATTTTAATTCTTTTAAAATATTAGCTTTAGTTTTGGACAACAGACTAACCACAACCATTTTTTCCCTTTAGGATATATTTTGTTTTTTAACTATGGCTTTGAGTAACTATGTAATACTGTATGCCACTCAAGCGGTCTTTCACTTATGATTCTCAGAATGATTTTTCATGAGTTTTTCTGAAATTCCAAACTGGAAAATTATTTTTGGTCCCGCTCAGACATTATACAGTCTTAGGGCTAAATCAAACTACTAGCCTATTAAAAAAAAAAAAAAAAAAAAAGGCATAGTTTTAGACAATGACATGCTTGATTAATTATTCAGTGCGGCCAGATGGATATGTACAAGTTATGTCCTTTTGCGTGTTTGAATTTATAGTGAGTTAAATCTTTTCACACAGGCGCCAGTTCCTTGCCGGTGAGGGGACACAGATGTTTCTTCTGAATACAATTGACTCAGTTACCTAAGATGTGGCTGAAATGGAAAGGATAAGTGGTGTAAGGCAAAATAAGTCAAAAAAATCTTTATACCATGTCTACTTTCCTATTCTGGGGATAATTGAAACCTCCTTGGATTAGGAATAATTAAAAAAACAAAAACTGGATTTTCCTTGGGCATTGCCATGGACTGACATGATCCTAGGCAAGTCATTTATTTCATCTCTTTAAAACCCCATTAACTTGTGGCTCCTGGGTGGCTCAGTCAGTTAAGCAGCTGACTCTTACTTTTGGCTCAGGTCATGAGCTTAGCGTCCTGGGATCGAGCCCCCAGTGGGGCTCTGTGCTCAGCGCAAGTCTGCTTGTCCCTCTCTCTGATCTCTCTCTCTCTCTCAAATAAATAAAAAGTAAAATAAATAAATAAAATTCTGTTAACTCATGGGGCGCCTGGGTGGCTCAGTCAGTTAAGTGGTCTGCCTTTGGCCCAGGTCAGGATCTCAGGGTCCTGGGTGCCCTGCTTAGCAGGGAGTCTGCGTCTCCCTTACCCTCTGCACGCCCTCCTCAGTCCTGGTCTCTCTCTTTCTGTCAAGTAAGTAAAATCTTTAAAACAAAACAAAACAAAAACTCTGTTAACTCAGAAAAATAGAAATGGCAATGTCCAAACTCACTGTCTTGGAGTTTCCATGAGACACAATAGATGTAACTGAAAGCCTTTCAAAGCTTAAGCACTTGTAAGGAAATCCACATTCTTTGAGATAAACCCCCACTTCCATGTAGGAAGGAGCCCTCAGAAGTCAAACTCCCAACTTCTTTCCTGAGATTCAGCTTCTCCTCGGAGAGTTTGCTTTTCCAGTGCCGCGACAGGAGGTGGTCTGATTGCAGGCCTCACACCCTTCACTACGAGAATCTGCTCCCTGCGTGACATACGTAGTTTATGTGATAGAGCTTGGCATCTTCAGTGTGCTGCCCCTTCCTGGTTTCCACCTTCCCATTTTTAAACCTCAAGCAGAAGTGGCTTTAAGCATATCTCGACTCCTTGAGCTCTAGACCCAGGAAATGATAGGCAGTTGCTTCCCTGGTTTGTCTAATTCCTGTTTCCTAAAGAAAGTTACAACACTTCCCTAGATGATTAACATCAAGAAGGTCCAGCCCTGGGGCACCTGGCTGGCTCAGTTGGTAGAGCACGCGACTCTTGATCTTGGGGTGGTGAGTTTGAGCCCCGCATTGGTTGTAGAGATTACTTAATAGAATCATGAAAAAAAAAAAAGACTAGCCCTTCAAGATACTATCCCTACCTATAGGTGAGTAGCCTTACCCTGGGATCTCAAAATGAAAACCTCATCAGAACACAACAGAATAATGGTTTGGTTTCATTACAGTGATAGCAATAAAAATAACTCTTCTAATTACTTTGTATACATTATCTCTTAATCCTTATGAGCCTGATACTGGTATCCCTGTGTTACAGATGAAAAAGCTACATCTTCCCATTAATGGCCTGCTGAAAGGTCTCAGTCAACAAGAGAGCTGCCTAGGAATCTAGTTCTGACTCCAGAGCCCCTGTGCTATACCGCTTCTTAATATATCAGTGTTATATCCTGTTTAGTAACCCGAATGTTTAGAGAAGGGCAACAGCCCTGGGCAGAATTAGTCACCTTCCTCCCCCATTTTTTTTTTTTAGCACTGCAAAACATCAACCAAAGCAACGGACAGACTCTTAGGGACACTTGAGGGAACCAGATAATGCCATACACATTGTCCCCATCTGGACAAAGACTTGAGGTCCTAGCTTTCTGATGGCAGAAGAGAAGGCAAAACTCACTCTTTCTGAGAGTGACCCCCATGACCCAGTGGTCTGTTCATCTTCTCGTCCCTCCCCACCTCCCTGCACACTGAGATTTAAGGCCTCTGGAGAAGGAGGGAGAATTGTGTTACATTCTTGGCCCCGGACAAGAGCATTTACAGAGCCACAGTTCCTCTGGGCTTTTCAGGGAGACCCAGAGCAGGAAGCCGGGACTGCAGCACTTGCGGGCATCTTGAAAATAAATGTTATGTGAAACCACAGCTCTTAAAGCATTTAGAAAAATCACACTCCTGGCCCTATGTTTCTCAAAAGCACATGTTTCTTTCTGTTTCACTTCAAAACACACATTGACACGGCAAGTCACTGTTTAATTCATTACTTAAACATTTCCTGTCCTAAGCGGCGCTTTTCAGGGACCCTCAGCGCTAAGCAAATTTTGGTGAGTCTCTGTTTTTTTCTTCATTGAAAAATAAGACTGGAGAGGTGAGGGTGGTGGAGCTGACCCAGAGAGTCAGTAAATGTTTATGACTGCTCACGTAACCTCTTCCCTCCCCCAAAAGTGTGAAACATAGAGAAATAGTGTAGAGTGATGTTGGTAATTGACTTGGGAATGATTTTTTAGTTCCAGCTCCAAAAAATAAATCTTTGAAAATTAAGTTTCACTGATGTCAACATTTACATAAGGAGATAATGCGGTGTAGAAGAATCAAGCTAATAGGAGATTAGACAGACCCAGGATTGAATCTCACTACCCATTAGCTATTTGACTTTGGACATGTTATTTCTCCTCTGGAAACTGTTTCCCCACCTGCGGTTATGTGGAGGTTAGAGGGACATATGGAGATGATTGACCAGTTGGGACATGAAGCCACTTCTACAGCTCCCTTGACTTCTGGCCTGATTTTATTTCTTTGGACTATGGCCGGCTGAGTCTTCAATGGCTCCCGGGCCAGTAGAGATACTATTTGGTGCACTTACAGTGTTCTAGAAACTTCGCTGCGCAGTTTACACGGACTATCCTGCTTACTCATCACAATACCCCTGTAAGAAGGCGACTAGTATGATTCCCATATTAAAGATGAGGAAACCCAGAGTGCAGATCCCCAATTGCTTCTCTAAGAGGAAAAGTCACTTTTCTACTGTAGTGCCCCAAAGTGTCTCCTGATTTTCCTGGATTTTTCATTTCCTCCCTCTGTCAGGTCCCAGGGACTGGCCTGCTCTCCCCCCTCTTGAAGGAGGCGTTGTCTGCCAATGGGGCGAGGGGAAGGGGGCTGAAGCATTCCTAT